TTTACAATTTGGTGGCAAGAAAGCCGACCCTGCCTTTTTATACCCACCGTCCCGCTGCCACCTTGCTTGAAGGAAGGAGCAGTGAAAAGCAAGGAAAGCGAGAAAGTGGCTGACATTCTCCCCCACCTGGAGCTGATATACTGCAGGAAGTAGTTTGTAGCAGAAGGCATCTCAGAGCTTGGGAGCCAGGTGTTTTGCACATCAGCTGATTCATCCCCTTCATCTCCTAGCTGGGATAAGATGGGTGGCACTGAGATTGGGTAAGGTCCAGAGAACAACACAAAGCACAAGTGCATATAAAACACAGGAAACTGCTTTGGATTAGTCAGATAATTGGTCCGTCTTAATATTAGTACTGGATCCTCTGATTGGAAGCTGCTCTGAAGGGATTCCACCTACTCTAAAAGGCTCCCAACAGCCTTGAAAGGGAGTTTCCAGAGCTCTAGAGATGGAAATTCTGTATAGGCTACACCACTCTGCAAACAACTTCTCTTCAGTTATGCAGAGAGAAAGAGATAGATTTGCTCCCCACCCCACCTTTCATTCTGCTGTCTCTCTCACACAGACTCTGATTTATGAAATAGCTGGAATGAAGGAAGATTGTTTTAGAATATCACTCCTGGACAGAAAAAGAAAAACACTTCAATTAAACTTGGTGCTCAAAATCAAGGGTGGATACTGAGCCTGAAGTTCTGTAGGAAGAAAGCAAGTCATGCATATATAATCTTTAGTTCTAAGAATAGAATAGAATGGAATAGAATAACAGAGTTGGAAGGGATCTTGGAGGTCTTCTATTCCAACCCCATGCCTAGGCAGGAAACCCTACACCACTTCAGACAAATGGTTGTCCAATCTCTTCTTAAAAACCTCCAGTTTTGGAGTATTTACAACTTCTGGAGGCAAGTTGTTCCACTGATTAATTGTTCTAACTGTCAGGAAATGTCTCCTTGGTTGTAAGTTTCTTCTCTCCTTGATTAGTTTCCATCCATTGCTTCTTGTCCTGCCCTCAGGTGCCTTGGAGAATAGTTTGACTCCCTCTTCTTTGTGGCAGCCCCTGAGATATTGGAACACTGCTGTCATGTCTCCCCTAATCCTTATTTTCATTAAACTAGACATACCCAATTCCTGAAAGAATAATGCTTATGATTCACTTCTATCTCTCAGGGGTGGAGAAATACTTCAGTGGCCTCCAATCCTGGGTTATGTAGGAGTCAATACCAGAGATTTCGAATGATCATTAGCCCCCACCTCTTGTTAATGTGGTAGGGTCACAAGTAGTCTAAGCCTGAGCTAAGTAAAAGTTGCTTCATGTCGGTGTCTAATAACAGCACTCAAGGGGCTAATAACAAATAAGGACCCATGGAAAGCATCCCCCGATTTCTGATTGGCAGAAATTTACAGAATGAGGGTTGTTCATTGACTGCAAATTTGCAGAATGATAATACAGGTAATCCTCGATCTACAACAATTGAGCCCCAAATTTTTGGGGCTAAGTGAAACATTTGTTGTGAATTTTGCTCCGTTTTACAACCTTTCTTGCCACAGTTGTTAAGCGAATCACTGCAGTTGTTAAGTGAATTTGGTTTTCCCATTGACTTTGCTTGTCAGAACGTCGCAAGAGGGGACCACAGGACACTGCAACGGTCACAAATGCAAACCAGTTCTCAAGTGTCTGAATTTTGATCAGGTGACCGTGGGGATGCTGCAAAGGCCGTACTGTAAGTGTGAAAAGCGATCATAAGTGACTTTTTTCAATACCGTTGTAACGGTCACTAAATGAACTGCAGTAAGTCGAGGACTACCTGCAGATTGTGCACAATTTTTCAAATCATCACCGCCTTCTGCAGGAATGTCTGCGCATGATTAACCTGAAGAGGGGAATCGAAAGAAATCGAACAGAACTTGCACATCCTTCATCTAGCGCATTGTTTGGCTACGAATGGCAACAGCTCTCTGGAGGCTAAATCAGAGAATCCCGCCACGAGCCACCCAAGAATATAGAACTAAGGCATCAGGAGTTGAAGGTGCTGCCTACAACATGGGCACTGCCATCCAGCTAATGCCCCCTTAACGTTTACCAGCAGTACTTGGACCCAAACTGGAAAAAATACCTTCACTCTGTCTCTTAGGTTTTGCCCAAACACAAAGGATTGCTGTGCGTTCTGCTCTTTGTCACATTTTTCAGTGTGTGAAGCATTGTTGGGTTTATTTTTCTGACATGGGTTCTCCTAAACAAGAGAGAAAGGGGGAAGGAAGGGAGAACATAACCACAAGAGAAGGAAACCAGTGAAGAAAAACTAGAAATGTAATTTCCCCTTCCCCCCTTCAATCCATTAAAACAATTTGGGCTATGCTGGGTGTACGTGACTGGTCCAGGGTCACACTAAGAGCCTCATGGCTTAGCACGGGCTTGAAGCCAGACTTCACAGGTCAAGCATTCAAGCCACTGTGCCTCACTGGTTTATCTGGAATCCACTGTGCCAGAAGAGCAAAGGAATCTGGGGTATGGGATAATCAGTGGAGAGAAAATGCTGTTTTCATATTTCATGGGAAAGAACAAGCACAAATGTCCACGAAGCCATCGGGAATCCAGCTTGTCTCGAAAAAGACTTTACCAGATGTCCCCAAACAACACAAACACCCCTGTGCTGGAGTAAAAAGAGCAACACACAAACACCCCCCCCCCAACCCTCCTTCCCAGATTCCATCTATTTGCCAAATGCCATCCACAGACTCACCATTTCTTCTGAATCGGGACTTTTCGGTATGGTATTAGTTGTGGGTTCAAATGTAGCAGCCAGAGGATCTGGAGGGATACTTACACCATTGGTTCCACTGCTTGGAACTGCGACAAGAAACAACATGCCAGATGTAAAGGCTGCAGCATTTTTTATTTTTTGACACTGCAGTAAATCGAACATTAGTAGGTGGAGCGGTTAGTATGTAACACTGTTAAATGTAATAAGTGAGCAGAGCTCAGTAAAATGAATTTGCAGTGGAACTTTCTATTCTAGCATTCTTTCCCTTATTGGATCGGTCAGATGAATATATACATATAAAAAAAAAAAAACCCGTACACAGGACATGCCAAGATTACCTGAAAAGCTTTTGGCAAAGGATTCACTTTCCACTGATTTTTTTCCCCAAAGTGGTAAGACTTGATAACTTGATGCCATTTCCAGCCCCAAAGAAGTTACGTCTTTCTCAGTCCTCAAAAATGAGGAAGTGAGGAAAACTCAGTTCTGTTCCTCAGCTCCAGCTTCTATTATATACTTCAGCATGCTCCCTTTAAGAAGATCAATGCTTCTCTTTTTCAGAAGTATAAAACGACACATCCCATATTTCCTCAGTACCGGATAACATGGTTCGAGCAGCCTTGCACACACTTCCATAACCCAGATTTCGTTTGTATATATTTATCAATCATCTGTGACTTGACACACACCACACGCACTCATAGGTACACACATACAACTTTAGATAAACACGTGACATTCTGCTTGGGGGGGAATTTACACTTGGATACTTCGAAATTGAGACTGATTGTTTTGTGAGTCGCTCTGCAGGCTGTTTCATGGACTGAAAAGCAAGCTGTTCTATGCACAGTCAATTTATTTCATCTTATAAAATAAAATAACTAGCATACTGTGATTTTTAGAGATCTTTCCTATTACCTGCATCCAAAAGACTAATTTGCTTTCCAGTCTTATTATAAACTATACCAGTGATGGCGAACCTTTTTGGCACCCAGTGCCCAAACCGGAATGAGTGCATGCGTGCGCATGCGCAGGAAAACCAAAGACCAGCTGGCCGGCATGCACGAAGACCAGCTGGCCAGCGTATGCCAGAAACAAAAAGAGCAGCGGGTGATGGTGCGCGTGCCCATAGAGAGGGCTCTGCATATCACCTCTGGCACGTGTGCCATTCACCATCACAGAACTGTATTAAATTTTCCACATATCCTGTGCATTGACAGAAGGCTTATTAAAGAGTCAGTTTGGTCTGGCATTAAGGCATCAGGTGGGACACCAGGAGCCTGTGAGTTCTAGTCCACTCCTTAGACATGAAAGTGGACTGGGTGACTTTGGACCTGTCACTCTTTCAGCCCAACCCACCTCACAAGGTGGTTGTTGTGGGAAAAATAGGAAGAAGCAATATGTTCATCGTCTTCACTTATTTATAAAAAATAATAAAGGGGGGATAAAAAATGAAATAAATAAAATATTTATAAAATGAATATAATCCTTCCAGATCCTAATAAATTGTTTTTTTAATAAAATCTGTATAATCTGTATATATTATATCTATAATATTCTGTTTAACCCCTTATTCTTTCATATCTATCTATCTATCTATCTATCTATCTATCTATCTATCTATCTATCTATCTATCTATCTATCTATCTATC